TCTTTTAAATAAAAAGATCCTTTTCTGTGATTTCATAAATTGCATTTTTTTATTGTCACTGTACATCCAGTGCATTGTTAGATCAGACTGCCTTACTCCCCACAAAAGCATTTATATACACATGGATACAGTAGGCATAAATACAACCAACAAAACAGGAAAATGCCACATAGTCATTCCCAGTGAATCTCAGACTTCTTTCCATTATTTTCTAATATTTTTCCCTTCCACAGAACAGTGTACATACTTAGCCTGCCACCCCCCCAAAGATGAAGAAAGTTTGTAATTACAATGAACCAAAGCTCCCTTTTAACTTGATTCATCTATCACAAATGCAAACATATTGCTTTTGAAGAGAAGGAGAAACCTCTTGGGTAATCACTAGTCTGTGCTGCGCACACCTAGCAGGTTCCTCTTTACACTGTGGAACAGATCGGCCAGGGAGGTTCCTCTATGTTTTATGTAAATCTCGTCATCTCAGAGTGCATGGAGATGAGGTAAGTCCACAAATGGAGCAGCGAATAAGTAGCTTTCCTCCGAGGAATGTGCGCCTCCTCCCCCACCACCAATTGCGGTAACTTCATCTACATTTTTTTTAATACCCAGCCGGTGATGTCACTTTATTTCTGTGCCACTGACTCCCAGGAGAATCCCATGGCCCGCTTCCAAGCCCAGTGTAATTTTCAAAATATGAATTGAGGTATAGGGTCTAGACGACTTTAGTCGCTGTACATCCTGCTTTGCTGATAACCAAAAACAGAAACACACAGAACCTGAGAGACAAAAATAAAGGAAAACAATCTCATCTTAAAACCAAACACAATGGACTTGTTCATTTTTCACTTGGAAAAGAGACTTGTATAATACAATGGGCTGTAAATATATATGCTTCTAATCCCGGATGAGAATACATTAGGATGGCAAACTGAACACATAATCATAGTCACATCAATGCTCAGTAGATACAGTATAATACAGTGAATTACATGATGCATTTATACAGTATTTTCAAATTGTAAACAAAGCACAACTAGTCAGTTTGATGTTCCAAACACAAGGAACACAGGTGGCCATATTCGCCTTGCATAGCCCAGTGATCGCTGCTCTGTTAGGAAACTATTACAAATACCCATGAAATCGCCTTTATGGAGATTTAGACAAAAAAAAAAAAACTCCCTACTGTCAGCTGAAATAAAACGTCTCTTGTCCCCAAGGTAGCGCTAAAGCAGAAATTTAATTGCTCCATTTCTTCTGAGAATTTCAGCTTAGGACACAATTAGAATTAATTGGATATTGTAGAACCGCTTTAGAAGTCTGAACATAAATTAGGCAATTTTCTATTTTATTTTATCACCTCAATTTTATGTGGGGAAAAGCTAAACGGTTTTCTTTTCCTGTGTTATTTAAGTCAAAACAAGTTTAAAGGCTCCTCTCACAACTAAAATTTGGGGGGTCAAATCTATCTCTGCAAACATAAAAAGAGAAATTACGTTCATTCTTCTGTTAATTACACATCCGTTTATCCTGTATATCCTTTACAAAGGTATTCGTTATCATCCCTATCATAAAAACTTAGACTGAATGGACTCAACAGCATTAAAATAAAAGCATAACTCTTATTGCAGATAAAAAAATTGCAAAAACACAGCTGTATTAGTGTTTTTGCTTTGGTTTGATACTGATTAGAGGTAAGACATCACTTATTTTAAACGTGGGTAGATTAGATGGTTAAAAATTGAGGAGGTGCATTATAGAAAGGCGTCAGGTTGCACTGATTTGGCGTTAAATTATGGTTAATTGATAGCATCTCTCTAAGAGGCCCTCAGAGTCTCTGTTTGCTTATGTTTCTATTAGATTTTGGCCAAAAATTAATGGCACTTTACACAACAAGTTTTTAACTAAAATCCTAAAAGCTGCTGACTGACCTGTTATCTTAGAATTGACTGTCATCAGCGACATGCCTAACCCTACCCGCTTAAATTACTGAACCTGGTCTAATACATGCTATCAAGTTTTTCTATATCATGATATGCTAGGTGCTATCCTGAAATAAGTTCAGCTTCGTGTCATTTCGCTCTCTTCACCAGTTCCAAACCTCATTTTATACCAAGGTATTACCATTTCATTACCACTCCATTACTTACCTTATTGAAATGTCCTACCTATAATGTAAACCGATATAGCCAATGCCTTTCAGTTTATTTCTCTTTTAAATAAAGCTAGAATTGGGAATTTAAATTTCACGAATCACAATCAAATGAGTTTAATTCAACATGCATTAAACAGAATTCACTTATTTATATAATCCAAATGAGTTTCCTTTTATTAAATGATTCAAGCCATGATTTTGAACTTTTAGGGGATATTAAAAATTATAAGTACTTATCAAACGTAGATAGCTATATGATTAACAGTTTAGTTAAGTCAAAAACACAATATCTTTTGTTTTACCATTAAAAAAACCCTATAGTCACATACAAATCAGTCCACCACTGGAACAGTATTTATTTTTTTTTTCATGTCCAAAACAGTCTGATACAAAAATACCAAAATGTAATGGTAAAAACCAGTGAAGAAGCGGAATGACCCTCAGCTTTTAAACTTTGGCAACCAGTTTGCAGCTGCTAGAGTTTGCACTCTAAAAGCTTATGATTACTTTTTGGATTATACTCATGTATAAGCTAAATTGTTTGCTCAGAATGTTTAGCACCAGTATTTAAAATAACATCTACAAAATGAGGTTGTAATAATGTACACTGTTAGTATTGCTTTAGTTCTGATTGAGACTTTAGTTACTGCAAAATAATGGAAAACATTCAAACTTGAAAGTTTTCATGAAAATAACAAAAGAATGTAGGTAATGTCAAACTGAGCATCATTATTACCCTGTGATCCATATTTTGAGGGGAAAATTGAGGCATACCTTTGTTATAAAAAAAAAAAATCCACAAGTTGAATTTAGTTTTAAGTATTTATGCTGCTGATAATCTAATCAAATTTTTATATGAATATACAGTGAGGGAAAGTAACAAGCAGCCTGGTTTCTTTTGGGCTTCAAGAAAAAATAATAGGCTAAATCCTAATGGCAAAACCACTGGTTATTATTGAAATAATAAAAATAATATAGAAAGAAACGGTTAAAGAAAGAAGCCTAGTCTCTGAATTTTTCCTTGGATACTGCATTTATGTCTTACTTAACAAAAAACATGTCTTTTTATGCTAACAAACTACTTGTATAGTATTATTACAGTAGGAGTTGGGGCGAAGTTTTAGTTTAATTTAATGTGATCTGAAATGTCAAATAAAAAAAACAATAATGCCAAAAACTAGCCAAAACTTAAATAAATAAGTTTGCCATTCTAGTGTTTTCTAGCTTCTCTGCTAACTCCTTACAAAACACTAGCCTAAGCTAATGGCTAAAGAGTTTCAAGCCTGTCAATATAAGCAAGCTCTCATGTTGAGTTAAACCAGTACAGGTGTATATAAGAAAATGCAACATATCTATAATAAAATGGACTCCATAACATTGCCGTCTAAAAATTAAAAGCCTTACAAACTAGTGTAGCATCAAATGAACACCTACAATCACGTTAGTGGCTATTGTATGATTTCTGGCTGCATCAGTATACCAGATAGTTGATAATTATATGATTTTTAATAAAGAAAAACAAAAAAAAAACTCATCAGAACAAGAGATAGCTTATCATTATTGAGTTGTTTTCACAGCATTTTAGTACCCAGTATCAGCACAATGTAAATTAGGAAGAGGTGCAGCTTCTTAAAAGGTGACTCAAACATCGCTTTTTTTGTTAAGTGCGATTTTTGTTGTCAATTATAAATGCAAACCTTTAGCTGTACATAAAATGTTCACTCGTTCTTTCACTGATTTTGTAGGGCTAACAAGTATTGTTTGTTTCAACAGCCTAAAACATCAGGTGTGTTAAGCATTATGTACAAAGAAAACAGAACACTGATAATAGTTTTTAATTACAACTATCAATATATCGTACAGGTCCCTCTTGCCAATAGGACTGCACTTCTACAACATTTGATGTAAAAAAAAAAAAGTAGATATTTTTGTTCCATGTCTGATCTCTATAAATCATCCAGCATCCTGATTCCCATCTAACTGTGATGAAAACATTAAAAGTCTTTAATTTTTTCTTTATTTATGAGAATCAATAAACTTGCATTACATCATCTCTTTTTATTTCCTGTTTTGGAATTCAGGTAAGATAAACCTAAAAGGTAAAGTACAAAAGAAAAATTTTGTCATTTTCTGTCATAAACAAGTGATGGCATGATTCGCAAAAAAACTGTTTTGACTATTTTTTTGATATTTTCTCAACCATAAACTATAGCTGCAGAAGTAAAGTTTCACCCTTTATTACACAAAATAATATCATCCATAAAAAAATCTATTGTATGGATTTTACACAGGCTTTGTATAACTATGTCCCTAAGTTATGTTGTTTACAATTTCTGCTCCTTTCAGAGTTGCAGCGTAAGTATAGATTTCAAAATTCATACTGTAAGGTTGGTTGTGATGCAGTTTGTATTTTTACGGTGTAAAGTAAAATGTAAATTTCCTTTTTTACTGTTTAAACTTTCTGAGAAATGTTTGAAAAACAAAAAGACACATTTTTTATATGGGTTAATGTGTTTTCCCCTCTCCAACAAAAAACAAAAAACAAAAAAAACAAGCTAAAATCCCTAGCCAAATGTGAATTTAAAAATACTAACAGCAGGAAGTTAAATAAACATTTAAACACAAACATCTTATAACAGGAAGCTGGGAGTGAAAATACTACTGCTATTATTTTAACTGGCATAATGACATTGGTATGTTTAGGTTGAACTGTTTTAAAAAATGCAGCATATGATCTCTGGGAATACATTTACTATGCCAACAATAACTTTTTTATCAAACTTCACAGCAGATCAAAACACAATACAGATTTGAGGCCTCAAGGCGCATATAGTTTCTTATTTATTTATTTATTTATTTTTCTTTTTAGAAGGGGAAAGGTTTTAAAATAGAGCTTACAGTAAATGAGATGTGTTACTGGGCTTCTAGGCAGGCTTCTACATTTAAAGTCAATTTAAAGGTGCAGTTTTGACATAGCTTGATGCTCTTTCCCTTTATCAAGATCAACTTTTTATTTAGAAATGCTTCATAAGACAAAGTAAATAGTAGAGTTGGTCTTGCATTGTAATGTGCTCAATATGCTTAAGCCCTGAACAAATAATAACAAATAAATGTATTGCTCTTGGTAGCAGTTAAGTTTTACAAAATGGTCAAGCGCAGAACACGTTAAAAGCCCATAAAATGCCGTCCCACTCAGAGATACTGTAGTAGCCACTGCACAATGATCACACATGGTTTGTGCCATATTGAGCCACAGTCAGCTCCTAGACCTAAATTTGAAAAAGGTCATTTTAAACTCAGGTTAATGGCCATTTAGAATTTATTTTTTTGGAATACAAAATTATTTAAAAATGTTCCAAACATTAGAAATTTTAAATTCAGAATAATTAGCTGTGGGTATTAGCATGACGGCTAACACATTTCTGCTTGACTACAAAGGAGGTGAAATGTCAATTGAAAGCTGTTATTAAATTTCTGACTTTATTTTGAACGAGTGAACAATTAAGACAGACCTTTAGTGACCAATGAGAGCTGATCAAATACCAAGCTGATTACAATAGTCGATGAATTAACTATGAGGTAATTACACGAAGATGATCATTTAATGATAAGTTTAGGAAGCATTTAATATTTCTCCCCTTCCCTTAGTGAAATTTCACAAAACTTACAGTACATTTTTTAACTAGACCAGTTACAGTCTATTGCTGGAACAAGTGAGAAAAGAAAACAGAAGAAACTAGAACACAAAATGTGGCTACGTTGCTGTACACGTCTTTATATTATCACTTTTTCATTTTGAGATTAAAAGAAAAATAAACAGATTCACAGAAGATTCAGTTGATATAGAGCAATGGGTCTCTGGTTATATCAAGACCTCAGTTTTCTGATTTCTGTACATCCCTTTATACATAAACAACATCAAACATTTGTTTAGTTCATATCACCTCCTTTTAAAAATTATTCCACGTCTTTTTTTTTCTTCAAATTTTGCTCTTATTTAAATAGATAAAATGACTTCAGAGCCCAACGTCATCCTTTGGCTGTTAATTGGCACTCCACCTTTATTTCTTATGTTGTGTTTCTTGTCTCTGACTGAAGTCTGCAGCTGCTCCAGTTGTCAGGCCTTGGCCTCCAACATCTCAAGGAATAGTTTGTGCATGGGAACTTTACCCTGCATTTTAATGCTGTAGAAGTGCTGAACAGCCTTTGTGGCGGTCTGACGGAGCAGAGGCAGGGTCATCAGCAGCTTTCCTGCCCTTCGGGGGTCTTCTGGGTGCTGGGATCCCTCGTAATCCTGCAGAGCCTCGTGCAGAGAGTCTTGGAGTCTTTGGACAGCCTCTACACTCTCTATGTGCATGGAGTCTGAGTAGAGAGGAAGGAAAAAGAGATAAGACATCTGGTAAGGAGTCTAAACTACCTCATTACAACATAACATTTTGGAATATTTTGGGGGGATTTAGTTGTAAATTTGTGAGTTATCAACATAAAAAAAGTTAATGACCTAAACTTTTTTAGTCAGATTTTAAAAGAATACAGGAGCCAAACCTGACATTTCTCACAGATTAAAATACTTTCAACGCCCTTTTTAAAAAGATGCCCCCTGTTGGATTTTAGGTGATAATTTCAGAGCTGAGGAAAACTACATAATTTTACACAGACTGCATTACAGAATCCTCATTAAATTGACGATTTTACTGTCTTATTATGCTATATAAGCCAAACACTGTCTGGTTGCATTTAAATATATTTTAAGGTATCCTTTAAATATAATTTGTATTAAAAAAAAAACTAACATTTTTATTGTTGTTTTCCAAATCATCCATATTTAATTCACAATAAATCTAATAAAAAAAAAGATTATTGAGTAAAACCCAGAAATGCACCATTTCCTGCTTATTCTGTACATCCATTACTTGCAAAGCATTTTGAATGTGGGAGTCTGCTTCAGCCAAAGTGATAATATTAATCCACAACCACATCTTTTTCATTCTCTCAGCATTTATTATTTTCAAGACAAATAATGGATTATATTTTTCTGACCATTGTGTGCAATTTGACTTTTCCACAATTCCCAAATTTCTGCCCTGATTGACTGATCATTTCTGGTGACATCTTGTCTCCAAGGAGTTCTGTGTGCCTTAAAGCAAATGAGCTTTGAAACCTAGAATTTGAACTAGAAAAACTCCACCGCCAGTCATTTCCACTGTTAAGAAACAAGTTTTTAGCTATTGTTTTACACTTTGCCTTTGCAAATATGTAACAGAATGTTTTCTTTAACAAGAAGCGACAGTCTTCTGTCAGCTTTAGCTGAGAAAGAGAGTAAAAACTGAGATCACAGGACCCCACATGAGACACTAGGTAGATTTGGGAAATCAGCCACCTTACTTTGTTCTATGCATCTGTGCTGTCCAGGATTCTGATGCAGAAAACTAAAACAGAAATCCCGAAGATTCCATTTTGAATTCCTACCGGACCATAAATCCCCAAAATAAAGGTATTTCAAACTTAAAGCAAAAAAAAAAAAAAAGACAAACAAAACAAACTTTATTTAAACTACAGAATGAGACCCTTTAAAACTTTGACTTTTATAATAATAATTAAAAAAATAAAAGTATGTTTCCTATTTAGTCCTATTCTTATTAAACAGTCTTATAAGATCACATTCAATGCTTGTCGTTTTTTTCTTTTACTTAATTCAAATATTACTTAATAAAATCTAATCTTAATATGAATGACGTAGCCTAATTCTTAGACTATTTAAATTCTAATTCTTAATTTTGATAAACATGGGCTTGCTCCCTAATTAAGAAATTATTCATCTTTGAGTTTCACTGAGGATAGATGGAGACTGATCAAAGTTTGTTACATTAATATAGAATTATGGCAACAAAGCTACTTAAAAATACATTCAGTAACAATAAAGGATTGTTTTTATATGCAGCGCAGCACAAATATGCAGCTGCAGCTACCTGTTTTACAGCTGGGTTTACATTCCACAGCTTGTAAATGCAAACATGCAATTTTGGAGAGAGCTTTTCCTCTTGTTAGTAGTTAATGATGCTCCTTAAATAAATGCCTGTGCGTGGCCGAGGCTCAGGGGAAAGAGATGGGCACTTCAGGTTGGAATAAATATTCAGTGGTAAAGGAGAAAGATTCATTTCTTTTTGGTAGCATGGCGTACGGCGTACATCCCCCCATTTTGCTAATGAATTCAGATGGCTGCATTACAAGGATATCGTTCATCTGAATGATGGTGGCAGATGGCCTTCATTTCCATAAGAAAGAGCAGTTGGCCCCCTTATGTACAAGCTCTAAAATAAAACCAGTTGAGCTTTATTTAAAACTGTCTCTATGTAAAACTCTGAATTCTGGAAGAAAAGAAAAACAGTGGTCCTTAAAAAGGACAAGCTGACACAGGATTTTAATAGACAAGCATAATATTTCGGGTCTTGCCTGTTTGACAAACCATAGTCAACAAAAGTGAAGTTTTCATCAGTGTCATCCCAGAAGTGGACTGAGACATGTCTGCTGGATAAATAGTGAGGGAATCAAATCAGCTATGTGTCATTTATTCAGTAAGCGAAGTGAAACCCATGTATGAACATGTAAATGAGGAATAAAAAAGAGAAAGTACAAGGCTAATTATGTTCCTAACTGACTGATTAAGGCTCTTTTACCAGTCGCCTTCTGTGTAAATTGCATTTCTATCTTGGGAAATTAACTAGGCTACGTGGACCGCACATGTGTTCCAGTGCTCTTCGTTTGAAACCTTCTTGTTAATGCTGATCCGATCCTGGTTTGGCATATGAGCGCATGAGTGAGACTACAGAAAATGTCTTCAAATGTGTTTTTATGTGTGGGTATTTAAGGTGCTAAGAGGCGGCATGCAAAACTTGCTTTGAAGAAACAATTTCCGTGTAATCCGTCAGCAGCTTGGCGTCAATCCTGTCGATACTCTGCTAATTACAAAATCAATGGCCATGAATTTCCACAGCTGTCATACCCACCGGACCAGTGGAGCCGAAGCTGTGTGAGACTTTGTTCAAACGAGCTAAAGTTGCCCTCTCGCCCTTGCTGAGCCTCCCGCTCAACCCCAGGCCTGTCCTCTCCCACACTTCTCCCTTACGTTTCCAATCCCTTCCTTTTCTTCCCCCCTTTTACTCCCGTGGAGAGTTTGTAATCAGATGGCCAAAGCTCTGCGCTCAGCATCTTTTTTCATTTTTCAGTCAGGCAGGAGAAAAGACTCCTAACAGCCATCGATTACTGGGGGACAGGCCCAGCCTCATGAAAAGCAAACTGTCGATATGGTCGCAGCATCTTCACACTGGAACAAACGAGGCCCGTCGCTCCCCGACGCTCATTCCACTCCACTTAACACATTTTATTGACAGCCCCTGTTTTTCTAATGAAATGCTAAATATATCTCCCTCTGCTGAGGCGCGCTGGCAGCCACTGTTATGGAGATGGAGGTAATGAGAGCGCACGGTGACAGTCACACACACGTATCTTTGAACAAATTAAAATGAAGCTGAAAAAAAAAAACAGAACTCTGACCTTTAATCTTATCAGGCAGCCTTTAAGATGAAAGTGATGATTTCACAAGATATAGATCAGCTCTTAACATTTCTTTTGTCAATTTTCTTTGTTTGTTTAATTAAATGGCAATCTTGTTGATTGGTTTAAGATTAGACATGCAAACATAACTTTTAAGACCACTAATGTAAAAAAAAATGTGAATGACGGTATTGAATGAAATGAACTCATTCATTAAGAACCATATTCGTTACATTTTTATTTCATTCTGTTGGTTTTCAATATTTTTGGCCAATTTTTAGCATTGACAGAGCTTTAAAAATATGTTCATGCAGTACCTCTTAAACTCTTCAACGCTTTTTCATAACATTGCCACAAATTTGAACGTATTTTCTGGGTAATATCTCCAATGAACCAGAAACAAAGTTGTCAATATTTGTGAAGCCGAAGGAAATTTAAAGAATGACTGTTTGTACAAATGTAGCAGCTGGAAGGTAAACCTATGATGCATTTTGAAGTCTCTCACATCTTCAACAGTTTTTCTTCCAGAGTGTCCCTACATTGCCCTCCATCCTTCTTCTTATAAACTGCTTGCATAGTTTCCCTGCCTCTGCAAAATTCCTACACCATGATGCTGGCACCACCATGTTTTGCCATGGGAATGGAGTATTCAGTTTGGTGTGCCATGTCAGTGTTCTGTCAAACACTCTTATTGCAAACAAAACTTTTCTAATAATTGACTGTGTCTTGCTGGTGTATTAGTTGCTATTTTTGTGTTTTATGCTTAGGTTTTGCTCAGCTTGTTAAGTCGGGCATACACTGCAATATTTTCAGTCGTTGCATGCAGCTACAGTTAAAACTGTTTGAAAAAACCAAAGAGTTAAAAAGTTTTTAGCTAACGATGCATGTTCTCACACTGTGGGGCCCGACGCCCTGATGACGACGGCTGACTGAATTTCAAACATGTTTGATTTTCTCCCGACCTTACAATTCCTGATCCTGAGGTGGTCGTGAGAGGCTGATCGCCCCATGTTACCCCCTTTACACTTTATGACACACGATCAGACTGAATGACGGTCCAACTGGAGAATCGGCCCGAAAAGGGCAAATAAAATCGTACAGTTTATGCCCCACTTTAGTAAGTAAAGTCCTTACGTATTGATGGGGAACCAAAGTGTACACGTGCACAAGAGTTTAACAAGGTAGTAATACACATAAGTAAGTTAGCATCTCCCAATGAGGTCAGGAAAATAACAAATTAAAATCAAATTCATTGTGAAAAGCTGGTAGTTGTTTGTTGTTGTTTTACAGGATGGTCAGGATCTATTAAGACGATGCGTTAATTGTGAAAAGACTCACATTTTGTCTTTCTGATAGTTTCACAATACTGTCAGCAGAAGGTGCATAAGTATGTTCATATCAGATCATCGCACCCAATGATGGAATTCTATTTAGGCTGAAAAGGGACTTTCAAAACACTAACAGAATGGACACTTAATGCATACAACCTTTTTTTGTATAAGCATATAATGCGATTAGGCACCTTTAAGTATTTCTGATTTCAGTAAGAACCTTGGGTATCGGTCAAGCCTTCCTTTTTTCGTAGTGTGAGCTTGTAAATGTTTGCTGTGACCGATGATATGGTCAGTTTGAAGCTGGCAGCTCTTTTTTTGCAGAAATTCATTGATCTGCATGGCTTATTCTGTTGTCTTTACCATTTTGCAGAGAGAGGAAATAGCCCCTGTGTCTGTATCTCAATAGATCGATTTTATCCCATTTATAGTTCCTCAAGCTTTCTGATATAACTGAGAAAATAATATTAATAATAAAAAACAAAAACTTAATTTACATTTATTTCATAGAAATTAAGAACTTGACAGACAGATTGCATCTAAACAAAAAAAATGCCCAATTGATTTAAATGATATACATATATTTATGTATCTAATAAATCAATAGGGCAGATTAAAAGTTAGAATTTCTTAAATGATTTGTATGTGATACATCTTAATATGTAATCTATTAAAAATTTTTTTAGCCTTTTTGTACTTCTTCACCACTGGTACCAATACATGAGCAGGTGTCTGCATTTTGAGGCACTGATACTTAAAAAAATTTGAAGACTTGTTACTTTTAGTTTCCTTTTAACAGCTCAGTGCCACCTAAAAAAAAAATCATATTTTACAATAGTGAGTGACTGTGGGATTTTTAGGTGTAAAATGTACCTGAGTTGGCGAGCGCGATGGCTTTGAGCGTGACAAACTCCTCCTTCTCCATGCGCAGCTTCTTGTAGCGTCGAACCAGCGGCAGGATGGCGACGTGAAGATCTAACAGGCCAGAGATCCTTGCCTGCTCCTCATCCACCACGTAGTCCTCTGCATACACAATCTCGTCCTCGCAGGGCAGTGAGCGAAACACAATGCTCAGCACCAGGATCTCCATCCAGGCGCTCTGGAGCAGACTCATTTGGTCTGCCAGGGAAAGTGTGGAAAAACCTGTTGGAAAGAAAGTGTTACACTGTTAGTCTTGTTTTTCTGGTGTTTCGAAAAGTGCATTTGAGGCCAACTTGTTAACCCCAGTGCTCAGTTACAGCCTAACGTAAGTCTTCTGCATGCTTTATGGACTTAACTACATTTACTGTAAATTCCCAAGAGGAGAATAACTTGAAACAGAACTGAGTGCTGTATATACCGGCTTAAGGGTGGAATATAAATCTGTCAAATCAAAAGGCCTTTGAAACATGAACCACGGCTAGTTCAACCATCAACAGTCAGACCTTTGGTGCATCTGCAATGCAGATTAGTCAAACTTCCTTGTGGAGTACGGAAAGCATTTATAATGTACAATTTGTAAAAAAGATAAAAACATTGTTCCAGAAATAAAAATAACTTTTGATGTTTGGGTCAACTCCCTAAAAATGTATCTCATTCATTTAGAATGTTATTGAAAAGCAAATTTATTTTAATGTTTTAAGAAGTACAAGTTATGATGATAATTGAAAGCTAATGAAAAGCCTACATGCTATCCCATCAACTTCCAAAATTATTGGAAAACATTTTTTTAATAAGGTTGCACGGCGGTGTAGTTTGTAGCACAATTGCCTTGCAGCAAGAGGGTTCAGGGATTGATCCCTGGCAGGGATATTTCTGCATGGAGTTTCTATGTTCTCCATGTGCATGTTTGGGTTCTCTCTGGGTACTTCAGCTTCCTCCCACAGTCCAAAACCATACATTTTAAGTCAACTGGCATCTCTAAATTGTCCTTCGGCATGGTTATAAGTCTTTGTGTGTCTCTGGGTTGCCAAGCGACAGACTGGCGACCTGTCTAGGGTATACTCACCCATAGAATGCCAGCAGGCACCCGTCCCACTGCCACCATGATGGAATACATGGGAGAAGATGGATGGATTTTAATGTAGAAATGTTCAGCCTGTTACACTTTTTAGTTTTCAAGGAAGCCTAATTTGCTCTAATAGTGGCCTTCCAATCATCATCTCTGCTCATCCTCCTCACTATAAGACCTTAAAATGCAATGTGGATTGCAGCAGCAATCCACATTTTTTAAATACTTTTCTAAAACGATGAAATATTATATTTTGCTAGCCTTTTTCTACTACATCTAGTGAAGTAAAGCCAATTGCCACTTCAAAAAACATAAAACATGTAAGATAAATTAAACTGCTGAGAAAATACAGCATTTAAGTGAATTTGGTTAGCTCAACTGCCTTCAAATTAGCTCCATGATTTAAAGAGTTTATTTTTGTAGAACGATTAAAAGGAAAATTGGATTTTAAAATAATTCAGAATAAAAGAAAGCTTCTTCTTTTGATTGTTCAACCTTCTGAACCCAAAGTGGCAATTCGGCCTGATGTGGAGGTCAAGGAGTCAACTGTCCTCCAGCTTTCAAGCTCACCTCATTGACAGACAGACAGCTGAAAAGGCTCCTGGAGCCACAATACCATTCACCATACTTGATGGCAAATAGGGAGGTGATTCCAGTGCACTAAAGCGACAACGCTGCTTACCTAAATCTAAACTGCTATGGATCAGAGTCCGTCAGGCTGACTAAATAGAGGCCCTCCCAATAGCTCTTATCAAGCAAATAGAGGTGCGATGGAAAGAGGGAGAATGAGCTGGAGAGAAAAGAATGCTGGGGGTGCCATTGATTAGTAGATTGTAATCAGTCCACCAAATGCGAAAGGGCCATCGATCCAGAGCCTCAGATCTGACAAACAGACAGCTGATGGAGGACATCCGGTACATGTTTAGAGGGGGGCAGGGAAAACTAAAGCTCACTGCAAAAGTATTTGGACAGCTTTACTATTTAACACTTCAGTGTATTTAAGGGGAACTTATTTAGCTTTGGGCAGGAGTGGGTGACCATAAAAAGTAAAGCTGATCATTGTTTTGATAGTTATTTCTAAAAGAAAAGTAAAAGATTAAGTCTCTGGGCAAAAAGTGTCAAACCGAAACTTTGACTAGGCCATTCAAACACATTGATATGAGGCGATCTAAACTAGATGATGATGGATGTTAGTGGTTGCTGTCCTGGTTGGTGAACCTTTACCTCAGTCTTCCAGTCTCAAGCCTTATAGACTGCCCTCCATCTACTGTTCCTTTAGCCTGAGCATCTTCTCTCTCCCAAATGATGTTGAAAGCATACAGTAATTTGGCAACATAGCCTAACCAATTTCACCAAAACTTTTTCTACTTTGTTCCCGGGGTTGTCTTATTTAACTTTTATCTTTACAGAACAGCTATATTTACACACAGATTGGGCCTCCTACAAGAAGCGTTCGTACGAATTGATTTTGGAGAAAAGCCCATTCGCCATTTTTTTTCCCTATTTCTTATCTTCCCTTAGGTGTGGACGAATTTTACAAATGTTCCAGACTTGATGTAGGAGTTTTGCGCAATAAGGGTATACAGAGATTACTACATTTGTTGTTACTTAAAAGCAATTGTCCATTTTATCAGGCCAGATTTACATTTCTCAGAAATGTTTGCTCACTTACGCATAGATGGGCTGCATTAAATTTACGAAGATCATTTACGATAATTTACTGAAGTTAAAAACGTGTTGAATCTGATGTGGCAGGTTCATAAAAGTCTGTGGTAGCAGAAAATGTTGGAAAAATTTATAACAAGAATACCAAAATATTGCTGCATGAGGCAGCAATATTCAGTGACTCACTGTGCCCTAATATTTACTACCTGGATAATTCTGAATGTAATGTACACTAAAGGCGCTTGAATAAAAAACTTGTCAAAATGTGAAAAAGTGAAAGAAGTGTTTCTCTTCAGCTTTAAAAGCATGAACAACTCTGAGTTGATCAGTCATTTATAATGTAGAGATGCACTGTTACGATATTAATATCTGTATCCTACCTGATGTACAAAAGTACAAAAAGTTATGCATCGGATATCGGTGAAAATGAGCCGGATCCATAGAGCAGATGTATTTAGTTTGTTTCTATAAGAAATTTTAGTTAGGTTAAAAATATCTTGAACACCCGAAATGTTTAGACATTTATGGGCATCTGTCTTTGAGTTATTAAAATGCAGTGGGTCTGAATCCATACGTTATGTATTTGTTTTCAGGATGGAATTTGTCAAGTTAACATGATTTATTCCTTTTTTTTTTTTTTTGACCTTATACATCTCAAGAGACCATTTGGGTTTACATATACCTGCTTAGGGAAACACAGCTCTGGTAATGGAAAACAATCGGAATCTGCAGATATCAAATTAAAGTCCCAAAATCATTTCAGAGGTGAAACATGTGGATTGGTCCATCCAAAACAATAAATTAAGAATCACAAATATACGAATTAAAGATTCTTACATTGACAGTTTGTTTTGAAGAATTTAAAACATTAATTTTCAGATAGTGATAGGATGAAACTGAACACATTGAACATATAAAAAAGAAATTATCTTAAATTATTTGGAAAAAGTAATAAGATAAAAATGTTAAATGTGTGAACTATCTCCAAACCATGCTATAAACAGTCTAAAGAAAGTCAGAGCTCGTCATGCTGCAATGTGGATCAAGTCTGGATTTAATAAAGTCAATCATTTAGGTAGGATTGACCCATATTCACAACCAGCTTATCTATTTGAAATTCCTAATATGTGACAACAGAGGAGTTAATAAACAAAAACAAACTTCTAAATAATCTCATAGTCATTCTTGATCGAGAGCTGACCCTCTTTTCAACCATTTTTTCATTTTCCCAACCATTCTTTATTTCCAGTCAATTTACCAAAGAGTAAAGAGAGACTTCATGTCTCCCTCGGGGTCACCCTGGAGCTTCAGGTGTGCGGCTGAGTTAAGTGTTGCTGTGGAGGGTGAATCCCCTGATGAAATATCAATATTCCAACCTACTGATTTACTCCCGTTTGACTAAACATGACACAATATTGAGCAAACAGGGAAATGTCAATGTCCTTGCATGTGCCTGCATTCTCTTTGTGCGATGGCAGGAAAGCATGGCCTTTTTTATCTTTAGAAAAGCAGCAGATGGAGGTGAAAGATTTGGTTTGAGACAGTTTTAAGGTAATTATTATCTTATTCAGAGAAACCCCCTGCATTAATACAATTGTTTTGTGTGAACTCTCTATTAAAAGAAAAATGTACAATAGATTAATTAAAGGAAAAGTCTGGTCATATTCAGAATTCAAACTTCTGAAAGTACTTTAAATATCAAATTATGACATACTGTAAATTATCCAACAGTAAATTATAAGTGTTTTTAATTAAGAGTAATTTAATTTGAATGTCCTTTACCGGAAAAATCCATGTCTGTCAAATAACACTACCGCCACCTAACGGTTTGCGGTATCGGCTGTTGATCAAGTCATGTTAAATAATTGTTATTGATTGCAGATGTTTGCCACGCCGTGACAACACTGGCAGAAGATGTCAGGAGTGAGGTGTTACTATATTTGGGCAAAAATGGTCGCTCCAGGACTCAGTGATCATGATGAAAATGATAATTATTTTGTTTTTACTGATTAACGAAAAATGTATCAAATCCCCGTGAAGGAATTAGTTTTAGCTATAGATAATGATCCATTGATCATTCCTTGTTGATTGGACTTTTCCTTTAAGGAAAAAGTATGCTAAAGCTCACTCTAAAGTTACCAGATACTTCCTAAATATAATGTATTCAAGGGCTATAAATAGAAAACAAAATTAATTTTATCTCAAATGACAGTGAACCACAGAAGGATCAATGGTTTGGTCTGCTTCAAGCAGACCTTAGCAGACAGAGACAAGCTGTGCTGCAGACCCTTTCTGCTTTATGCTTCAGGAACAGTAAGAGATGAATCTTGGTTTTGTCAGCAAGCTTTTCATAGGTTCCACGATAATTTGTATTTTATAACCTTAATAAGCTTCTCCATCAAGCATAGGTACTATTGTGCAATGCATTTTTTAAGGTTTGTTTTTAGTATAACCACAACTTTTCACAATCAACCGTTTTGTTCTTATT